CAGACCTCAGCCTTCACTGGAGTTCCAGCCCTTCCCGCTGCTCCTCGCAAATGCCATGTGTTCCCCTATCTCCCAGCTGGGCCCTTCCCAGCTTCACCTCTTTTAGTTAATATTGGGCCCCGCTTCCCTCCGCAGGCTGAACCCTCCTTGTCCTTGTTGGCTGCCCCTTCTCAGGGGCAGTGACCCCGCCTTGTACCCCAGCCCCATGTCGGTGCCTATGGGCTCAGGGACAGGAAGCAAAGCCACATGTGCTGAGGGCATGTTTAGCTCCTGGTCCTTTATACAACACAACAGCCCGATGAAATGGGTTTTAATTCTTCCCATTTTACAGAAGAGGAAACTGAGGATGAGAAAGGCTAAGTGACTTACACAAGGTGACACGAGTGGTGGGGACCAGATTCCAACCCACAGCCATGGGGCTGCAGGGCTGTGCTGGGTGCTGGTGCATGGCCACAATGACCTCAAGCCCAGGGGGCTGTTTCCCGACCTAAACATCTCCCACTGGTGCCGGCTCCTCCACAGCCTGTCACTCAGCCACAGGTTTCCCGTCAGGCCAGCTCTGTGACGAGGATTCAGATGTTCCTTCTGGAAGCTTAGCCTTGAATCTGTTTCTCTGCCTCGCCCAGCAATTCCTGGCAGTCCTTAATGTGAAAGGAAGAGTCAGAGACAAAAGCATTTAAAAAAAAAAAAAAAAAAAACAAGAAAAAAAAACTACCCTGTAAAGAAGTCCAAGGGAGTCAGACTTCAGGAGGAAACAACACAACAGGAATTTCAAGAAGAGAGCACAGAGCAGACTTCCCCAGGTTGCTGCTCGGGCCGAATCCATTCATGGCGGGAAGCAGCCACGCACTCCCGGCTCTAATGCCCTCAAAGGCGGTGACACACCTTCAGGCATCTGCCGCAGAAGCCAGGGATGAAGCTGGCGTCGGGGAGTCAGCCAACCCCAGGGAAGGTGAGGGACTTCATCTGTTCTGGGGCCAAAACTAGACTGGGGGATCTTACTTCTGGTTTTGGTTTCCTGGCTGGGAGACACAGTAGACTCACATATTCATGACAGTGGCAGCCTCATGTCCATGTTCTCACCACACTGGTCTATTTGCAGGATCCACTGTTCTGTCCGAAATGTGGACTTTCGCGCATATTATTCTCTTTGGACGGCATCTGCTCCTGTCCCACACCCTTCACCTGGATACTTAACCTCTCAGTGTGGGTGCCACTCCTGCCCCCCAGGCTGGGATCCCAGCCCAGCGCTCCTATGAGACCTGACCTTCTAGTCATGGCACTTGCCGCCCTGCATGGCGATTGCTTCCTGAGTTGCCTGTCTTCCCCACCAGCTGTAACACCATCAAGTCAGGGACCATGTGTGCTCTGCTCTCCATGATATCCCACTGCCTGGCGTAAGTCTGGACACAGCAGGTGCTTGATGTGTGTATAGGACTGAAGGAAGGAAGGAGGGGTAATGAGGGCAAAGCCAAGAGCAGAGAAAGCCCATGCGGGTAGATAGAGACCTTCCTGCATGTTGATCCCAAGTCCCCTTTAATCGACACCCTGTGGCTTCATCCCGTGCAGGGAGTTCTCCCGGTGAGGGGTGGGGTGAGGAGCAGATTGTGGGAATCTTACCAACTGCAGCACGACCTCGTCCCCACTTCTCCGCCTTGTCCATGGAGAGAGCGTGGGAGACGTTACCAGCTGCCTCACCTGCCTCGCTGAGTCCGGGGACATTCCTGCCCCCAAACCAGGGAATGTGCTCGACTGGCCTAACCAGTGTCAGGAAGAACAGAGAATGCCAAGCTCAGCTGTGTTAACACTGTCCCTCCTCCCAGGGCCATCTCCTGCATCCTGGGCATTTGAATGGACCAGTACCCTCAAGATTTTTTCAGCTGCCAGAATTTCCCAGCCTGATGATGCTATCGGCCCCCATAGAGCTCACCTTTCCAGTCCCAGACCTGCCAACCCAGGCCCAGCGTCTCCATTCGCAGCTGCAGCACCTGAGCCCACTGAGGCAGAGACACAGGAGGAGGAGGAGTGGGTGGTGTGTGTGAAGGGAGGGGCACCTGACTGGACAACACAGAGAAGAGCTCCAGAGGCTGGACTTAGGAGCACAGAGCCGCTCAGGTCAGTGCCCAGGGCCTGCGGTCTGGAGGACTTCCTGGGGTGGGGGCTTGAACTGGGACTTCAGTGATGGAGATGGGAGGTTCCTTCCTTGGAAGGCACACAAAGGCAGTCATGGTGGTAACATGGTCTCTTCCTGGATCTACAGAAGCAGCTCCAGAGCAAGATGAAGAAACACTAAAGAGGAAACGCCAACTCTGGTGCCCTCTCCTGAGCCAGAACAGGCTCCAGGCGCAGCTGTCACTGAGCTTCCAGATGTGGACCCACCTGCAGCTTGTGAGCCACTCACCTCAGTTCCTGAGAGGCCTGTGGTCCCAGGTCCTGGGCCACAGCGTCTATCAGCTGCACGGCAGAGAGGGTTTCTCCTCCCCAGTAACAGCAGTTTTAAACTGTTTCAGTTTAATCTTACATATACTTAGAATTTTACTGTATTTTTATACTATTGAGTACAAGAAAATGTATTTTACATAACGTTTAATAAAATTCTATTAAAAATAAATTTAATTTAAATTATATAAAATTTAACTCTATGATCCTTCAAAGTGTAAATTCCAGCATCAAGTACATTCACATTTTTTCACAACTGTTACAAACACGCTCCAGCACCAGTACATTTTCAGAACCCACAACCAAGGTATGTGTCTGACCAGAATCGAACCTACAGCTTTTTGGTGTCCAACCAACTGAGGCACACTGTCCAGGGTGGCAATATTTTCATTTGAATTTTTCACTCTGCTCTAAACTGCAGTTGAGTATCTTTTCACATACTTTTTGGCCAATTTCTTCTTTCAGAATTTCAGTTTGAGACCTTTGGTCCTCTTTTCCATTGGATTGTTTGTAAGGAGACCTCGACTGTCATGGGTGTCAGCTTGTTGCCATGTAACTTGCAAATGGCTTCTCTAGCTTGCCACTTTTCTCCATTTGATGTGTGTTTTGCCAAATAGATGCATTACATTTTGATGTGGTGAAATCTGTCTTCTCTTCTCATGCTTTTTGATCTCGTCTCTCACTTTGAGTGGAAAACATGTTTTCCGTCTTATCAGGAAGATAGGCTAGGTTGTATTGTGCTAACGAAGCCCTAAATCTCCGTGGTTTGCAGCAGCCAAAGTTAATTTCATAGTCATGTGACTCCAATCATCTGATGGATCTAAAAGAGTTCCTGTTTTTTGGGATTGTTCACCATTTTTTTAATTGTAAGGATGAGAGTAAGGACTTCCAAGCTTTTATATGTTAGGGTGGAAACCGGAAGTCGACATTTTATTTGACAATGGCCTGTGGTGGACATGACTTCCATTTCCCCTTTTCTAACAGCTGCCAATTTCCACATCCAGCTGGTTCTGGGGAGTGTGGTTCAGGGCCCCAGAGTAGAGGTAACAGCACATCTCACTGGCCAGACCACAGTGATGATGGTTGTATGTGCACATGTGACTTCAGTGAGTTTAATAAGATTCTTTATTCTAGTGACGAGGAAAAAATTCTGGATGTTCTCAATTAGAGAAGCCAGAGAGTGAAAGAGACAGAGCAGTTAGCCGGTAATAGCTGGGAGCCAGCAGACTGAAGGGTCTTGGGTTTGATTCTGGTGAAGGGCACATGCCTAGTTTGCAGGCTAAGTCCCTGTCCTCGGTTCTGGTAAGTGTGGGAGGCAACCAATTGATGTGTCTCTCTCACATCGATGTTTCTCTCTCTCTGTCTCTCCCCTTCCCTTCCACTCTCTCTAAAAGTCAATGGAAAACTTTCCTTGGGTGAAGATTAACAACAAGGAAAGATGTAGTGAGAAGAATGGCACTGCCACCTGCTGTGAAACCTCAGGCAATTAGCTGAGCTCTTTGAGTCTTGCTTTTTTTCTGTGAAAAAATGAGTTGCAAGGAGAAAATTAAGTTATAAAATGCTTAACACAAAGAGCTGGCATTTGGTGGGCACTCAATTAATATTGCCCATTATTATAATAAATACTAC